ATATCCACGGAGTGAATGATGGAGAGTGGGGCGAAGCATTCGTCCGTCCATCCGTTCTTGCTTCTGTCCGTCCATGCGTCCATCCGTGCCGGCGTCTGTTCGTGCGTCCGTCCCTGCGTTCGTCCATGCATCCGCCCCGGCGTCCGTTCATGCGTCCATCCATGCATCTGTCTGTGTGTCCGTTCGTCCGTCTATTTAACGCTCCAAGTACCACCATCTCGCATCTTTTCATCACATATTCCCCATATAGAAGCACCGCCATCCAGCGGACATTCCAAGGACTAAACGAGAGGTGGCACGCGCACACTTTCTTACGGCTTGCGCTTCGGGTCTACTTCCCACCTTTAACCACTCCGAGTTCATGGTATACACTAGTTCACTGTATTCATGGCACTGCGGCTTAACGCTCGCTAAACCTTTCTAAGACTAAGGAGGTTACACCCAACGAGTATAACGTAGTAACCTTTTCTTGTCAGATAGTGCTCAATGTACATGCCAAAGGCTGCTAATGGGGATCGCAGCGTGCGCGTGAACTAAAAGCCGAATGCTCCTGTCTCTCGATCCCCATTAGCAGCCATTGGCATATACATTGAGCACATTTTTTTTTATTGTTCAACAAAGCACAGAAGAAATCTCTCACCGGCACCACCTTGGAGGTCAATATGTTATACTTGTTACACACTACAACGGCTACGAGGGACAAAGGGATGCCGCCATAAGGAGCTTCGCCCCTAAAAAGCCATAGCACGTGAAATCCGCGGCACATCGGTGTCCGCAGGTTGAGATAAACACTTGGTCATTTGCGAAGCTGTGGTGACAGAACGCGCGTTCAATATATGCGTGACTCATGACCCGTCAGCGATCACGTGGCACAGTTTTTATGTATGGTGATTTGCCACTGCTGCGTTTCGTAATCGAAACTCGCAACGAACGCTTTAAGAATCGTCGCTGCGTGCCGGATCTGGGCTACACGAGCTTTTAGGCTTAGCGCTACGTTCGATTGGTGTTTTGGTTGGTGGCCGTTCCTCAGATTGAGTTCATTTTTTTTTCTTTGCAATGAAAGCGGCCTCTTCAGTGTACGTTCGGCGGTTCGTTTGCGCGGACATGAGCTTCTTACCTGCGCTGTGTGGTGCGAGCGCTTTACGCGAGTCGCGGCGCGGGTGGCAATCGCAGGTTGATGTATTATGGCGAGTTTTACATCGACGGTGGCGACTCACGATATTAAAAAATAGAACTGGCAAACGTGTGCCGTATTAACAACACGTTGTTACTCGCGTGGTGAGGCGTTATCAGTACCATTGGCTTATCACTTAGTGCCGTACGCACGCGCTTTACGAGATAGTCGGTGCGGCGAGGTTTCTTGGCTCTCGCGCTGCAGCCTTGAAAGGGGTCCCGCCCGAGGTGGCCGCGAACGGCGGTGCAGTGCGCCTTTGTTGTCTAGCTGTTAGGAGCGCTTGGCGCTATCATTTCAGGCTTTTCTTCAAGTGAAGGGTAATTTACATAACTAAGATTCTTGTGCAATCGCAATTTGTACTTTTTTGTGCGATGTGTTTTTTTAATGTTTTTGGAGAACCTAGTTTTCAACAAAACCCTTTTTTGTTTTTGAAATACCATTTCACAAGTTCGTTACGAGGGCTAGATAGGTCACGTGGTATGTAAGAAGGTAGTGCATTTCATACCTCACGATAATCTGTTAATAATCTTCCTTCAAAATTTTTTTCAGTGTTATGTGTATTCTCCCAAAACAATTATATATATATATATATATATTTATGAGAGACGCCGAAGTGGAGCGCTCCGGAAATTTCGACCACTTGGGGGTTCTTCAACGTGCACCAAAATATGAGCACACCGACCGACAGCATTTTCGCCTCCATCGAAAACGCAGCGGCCGCAGCCGGGATTCGATCCCGCGATCTGCGGATCAGCAGCCGAGCACCTTAACCACTAGACCACCGCGGCGAAGTATGTTCCTCACATTGGCGTATTCTTGAGTTATGGTAGGCCGGGTACCAATTAAATGTCCAGTGTACTGTGTTCCTGCATTCTCGTCCGTTATTTTGTTATATTTTTTTTTGGCGTTGCGCTTTCCCAGTTAAGCATGTACAAACTCGTCCAAATCAATGTCTTGCTCGATAGCAAAAGAGTTACTGCTAGCCGTCGCGTAAAATTCCACTTTGTCGCTGCCACATTTCATATTATGGAACTGTGACATTGTCATACACTGTATTTGTGCTCCGCAGCATAAACATTGCGACATCCGTAGTGTAGGAATGAAAAGCCGATTTTGTGAAACGTTGCCAGTGACCTTTTGAGGTGCGCCTGTTGCGTATGCATGAGGCCTGACGTAGGGGTTCAGTCTCTTCAAGTGCATTTCAAATTCAGATGGCCTCCTTGTTTACTTTTTGCGCATTTCTGCATCGCGCAAGCACGTCGCAATTCACAAGTGCGATCGCCATCCACCTGTAACATAAATACTCCTTTCCACTGTATGTGCAAACCAGCCAAAGAGTCCTTTGAATTGAGCTAACGTTGAGACGTTCCCGGATGATGTGTTAGATTTTCCATAGATATGAGCTTCGCACGGCCACCGTGGAAAGTTATCAAAACATGTGATAGAAATTTTTGAGGAAAACGTTTGCTTCAACGGCAACCTCGCTATGATTTGATTGATTGGTAGTGGGGTTTAACGTCCCAAAACCACCACATGAAGTTGAGAGACGCCGTAGTGGAGGGCTCCGGAAATTTTGACCACCTGGGGTTCTTTAACGTGCACCCACATCTGAGCACATGGGCCTACAACATTTCCGCCTCCATCGAAAATGCAGCCGCCGCAGCGACAACCTCACTATGACCAAAGCTTCACTGCGACGATGTGCCCATGTTGAAGCACAGTTTATATCGGACCCATACATGCTGCACTTGATGAAGGGCGTCCCATATTCCTCTTGAGGTCCTCATTTCGAATAGTCACCTTGGTTGCACCTTCATGGATGGATCATTCAGCTTGCTTTATAAACCTTCCCTTACATGCATAAAACATGTTTTCATAATTTCGTGCACGGCCGTTCAACAACAGGCCCACGTGACCTCCTTTGTCATTTGTGACATCGGTTCATCGAGGTCTCAAAGTGGGCGTCCGCCCGCTGGAGTACTATGTGCCCGTGTCCATAGTTTGTGTGCTGCATAGATAAATGTTAAGCATTGAAGTTGGTGCCTAGCAGCGCTGCGCGTGAACATCTGGATGATTTTAGAAGGCATGGCGTGCAAACACGGGCACAAGTCGGCCACTGCAAACGCCTACTGAAGGATTCGTGCCACAGCGGAAGAGAAAACTCATCTGTGCATGCAATATGCGAACCTTTCAATCCGGCACACATGGTGGTCCACGTGAAAGATAACTGTCTAGCTATTTGATTTCATTGTTAATCAAAGGTTTGCTCACGCGTGAGCTATTATCGATATGACACGCCCCTATCATCAGATGTCTTTCTTCATTCCTATGTCGCCAAAAAAAACTGTGCATTCATTGGCGTGTACTCTCAACATTTACAGAAAGGGAAGCTTCCGGTTTGGGATCTCTTATGCTTCAGTAATAATATTATCTGGGGTTCTACATTGCAGAAATCACAAGATCAATATGAAAGACATCGTAGTGGAAGGCTCGGGAAATTTTGACCATCTGGTGTTTTTTTTAACGTGCACTGACATACAGCGCATGGGCCTCAACCATTTGGCCTCCACTGAAATGAGACTGCCGGGACTGTACCCGCGACCTTGGGGTCAGCAGCCGAGCAGCACTGTTTTATCGAGGCGGACATCTCTTATGTTCCAGTAATCTCCAGTTATTTCAACGTCCTCCTGTCTGTTTTACGTACAGAAGCAAACAGATGATCACATCACATGTTTTATGACACACTGATGATACGGATCACATGACGTGTTTCATGACGTGAAAGTGAAGACAATAGCATGCAGTCACATTTAGTTTATAGACTATTTAGTTAAGGTTCCAACAATGCAGCTTTGTTTCGCCTAACTGTAAGTGATTGGCATAATTTTTATATCCTATCGCTGATTTGTGTATGCGTCGGGTTGTGCTGAAGCGGATTGAATGTTCTCTGTGACCTCAACGAGGCAAGGTTCTGCTGAATTAACGAGATTCAAATACTCGTTTTGCTCAATGTTCGAAAGAATGTCTTAATGTATTTATTGTCCCACAAAAGTGACGGCTACCTATCTCTGTCCTGTGTTATCGTATGTTCTGTGGTATTTCTGAGTCCCTTAGTGTACCCGACACATGTGTACCCCACATTAGTATAGAGTAGCAATTAATATTGTGGCACGAGCGCACACTGTGGGCATGAGGTGTAAGAGTGCAAGCCTTCATGTTCATTGTTTTGTTTGAAAAAAAAAATAAAATGCACAAACTGCAGCCGTAACGTGCCGTAGGGGCGAGCGAATGAGGTTTGACTTGCTAAGGGAAAGTTGCTGTGCACCGAACAGCTAGAATGCATGCCGTCGAAGATCATGTGATGCGTGCACTCCTCCATGCTTCATTTGCGTAGCGAGAACAATGAGAGTTCACTACCCTCCCCCTTTTGTGATTTTACATGTTCACGTACACACGTGTAAACAGAAGTAAACAGAAGTTGGTCGAACCCCGTTACCTGTACTTGTTTCTCGATTGCACTTCAACATGCAATGCATCTCAAAAGGTCTATATAAGTTCCAGTTGTATACCAACAGGAAAATGAGAGGGATACTACCAAAGGATTAAAACGGGGAGGGAGGGGTGAACCTCCTAAAGGGGAACGCCTATGCAGGAAGTAAATTATCTGTAAACCTCCAGCAAGTATGTGTACAACTTTGTGGAATTTGGTTGTTCTACACAATGGGAAACGACACACATAGGAACTTTAGTGAGACATTCCTTCGGTGCTTGTTCCTGCATGACATCTGAATTGAATGATTTCATCGTGTTGTTTTTTGTGTTTCAGGGCCCCGAAGTCGGCGCCATGGGCCGGACAGGCTACACGTGCGTCCGCCGCACGCTCTGCTGTTACAACCTTCTCTTCTGGGTGAGTGGCCGTTGTGGGAGAGGTGTAGAATAGTGAAAACAGCAGCGATATAGCTGCAGGGGCCTAGTATGATTGATTGATTGATATTTGGAGTTTAATATCCCGAAATTAACATATGATTATGAAAGATGCTGGAGTGGAGGGCTCTGGAAATTTCGATATCCTGGGGTTCTTTAACATGCACTCAACTCTGAGCACACAAGACAGCTGCATTCTCGCCTCCACCGAAAATGCAGCCGCCGCAGCTGGTATTCGATCCCGCGACCTGCGGGTCAGCAGCCGAGTACCTTAGTCACTGCACCACCGCGGCAGGGCACTGGAGCCAAGAAGCTAGATATCATGGACATCCAGTGACCAATCTAAATTAAGGTTCTGGTCGCGTACGTGTCGACAGGCATCACTATTTCAACAAAGGCTGTAATGAGTGAGTGAACTTCCTAGGTGATCTCTTTTTATGGGCAAGGAGAGTGGATTCCATATGGGGGGAGGTATGTGGGTTGAACTCAGTGTGAGCAGTGAAATACATGTGTATGGGTAGGAGAGATCCACAGACACTAGAAAAACAAGGAACTTAAAGAAACGTCCTGTAATGCTTGTCTCATTAAGGACATAATGTAGCCACGAAGTAAGACCCGCACAAAGGGACCTGCCTTAATCAAAACTCTCTTCCCGTGTTGTTCCCGCTGGCTCTTTTTGGTTTTAGTGTGCAGACTGGGCAAAAGTACTTTTGAAGTTGTATCGTGGAGGGATACAAAATACTCAGGCAAAAAATTTAGAGATACAGATATAAGGTACTATCACAACAAATGTATTCAATACGATACTTGCCAATTGTACATATATTTTCAAACTTGGTGTTATGGGCCCACATGATGTAGCGCACTCATATGCACGAGAGGGGCAGTTTGAAATTTTCGTAAACATCACCAGCTCTTATTTCACTTCACGAAATTAAAAGTTTGACGGCAATCCGTCTGGCCGGGTAAATGCATAGTGTAAACGCGAAAGGGCGCACCCACCAAAAATATAACACCTGGAGTGCCCTGACATCAAGTAACCTTTCTGACTTTTTTTTAGTCGGTGTGTCCTTTAGTGTCTACACTATTATGTTGTTTCAATAAAACATATGGGAGTATCTCAAAAGTTGTGCATTTCTTGCTCAAAGTACATTGGTTTACTTCAGGAAGAATGCACTATCATTTGTTCTAGCTGTTTTAAACTGGACTGATCTTTGTACACTTTGTTAACATCGGTCCTTGCTTTACTCTTCTGTCTTCACATTTTCATTACAATTACCTCTAATAATATCACCTGTTATACTTCCCTTCGCATTATTGGCTGTTAGTTCCCGTTAATATTGCGTCTAACAAGAAAAAAGAGCCCTTACATTTGCGCCTCTTTCTTTTATTCGGGATTATTGGTTACTGCTAGCTTGTAATAAGATGTGCTACGTGACACCAACAGGCAAAGAAGTTGTTCCAGGCTCGTCGCAATGACAACAGGCGGCCCTGACTGACACTCCCATGTTTAAAAGCGCTACTATATACCCTATAAAGTGCACAAAGGGATGACCGTCACCGTAGGTCAGTGGTAGAGCATCAGGTGCGTTATTTGAAGGTTCCAGGTTCGGGTCCTGCCGGCGGTAAATAATGTTTTCATCCACTTTTCTTCTTCACATTTTCATTACATTTATCTCTAATAACATGGCATAAAGATGGCCTGGACGTGACGTCATGGATGCAGCTTCCGAAAGGAACTGGGGTACCATTGTGGTAACTTCGATAACAAACAAACTGCATTTGTGTGAAAAGGACGTGGCAGTGTCATCTCTGTGTGTGAGTAATAAAAGAACCTGCGTGTGATGTTTTGATGACAATAATGTGAGATGGAAAACGTCGTGTCCCTTTATGCTAGTGCTCCAAGTTGGGGCTTCAACCCGTCAGTGCAAGCCGTCTATACAGATCTCTTGGTATTGTTCTTTGTTAGTTCTCATTAACATTGTGTACTGTGTGTAATTTTAATAATAATTATTAGAATTTTACATCCAGAAACCACGATATCCTTATGAGGAACGCCATAGTGTAGTATCTCAAAAATTTCTGCCACCTAGGTTTTTTTAACATGCGCTAGCTGACATCGCACAGTACACAGATTTTTAGCGTTGCGCCTCCATCTAAATGAGTCGCCACGGTTGGAATTTAGACATAATTTTAACGCAACTCTCTGAGACGTTGCGGCGTGGCTTTCGCTGAGTGGTTCTACTAGCAGATTTTGGAGCTTAAAACCGATCGCACTGAAGTAAATATAGTAAGAGCGCGAAGGTGACATGTGTTGTTGCTCAAATTGTTGTAGGACACAATCTGTTGACGAGCTCTGACTACCTGGCAATTAGTATTAGCCTTCAATACTTTTTACTGGATATCTCTGTCACTGTGTATGAGAGTATTGTGTGCTGCCAACTTTGACCGCAGCATGGTGCCACCAGTGCTATGCTGCCACCAATGCTTGTCGAGGCTGACGGCATGGTGTGTGCTCCCTGTTGGCATCGTGTTTTATCGTGAGTGTTTAATGCTGTCTGTGGCTGTTACCGCTTACGAATGTGACAAAAAAATAGTAGCAGCTTAACAAATGATGCCAAAGACATGTTGTGTGCCACACTGTCGCTTTGGCTACAAAGAAACACTGAAAAAAAAAAAAAAAGAAATCCTCTCGCATCTTCTCACGGGGAGAAACTCGAGTAGGTGCGTCGCAAAGTGTGAGGGGCGAGGGAAGGTACCGAGTGAATGTTGCCTAATTGGGTATGGTTGGAGCATTTGGGACTGTTTAAATGTTATTTCGTCTTTGTTATTCTTATTTATTGAATGAAGGAGAAGCGTTGCCTTCAACGAGTGGTGGAACGCTCATGTTGGGTTGTGCCCCTCTACTGGTTAAACGTACTGTTGCTTCCATCACGTCTACTCGAGTCAAGCAAAGCGTCAAGTAAAGCAAAAAGCTAAGCAAAGACATCCTTTACTGAAATCCAAATGGGTGATCCAGTGCACACATATATGGGGTGGCCAGCAAGCAGTTGTGCAGCACAAGCAGTTTGTTTTTACTCGCATACGCAGCCTGCGTCGGCCTTGCGAGATGATAGGAAGGGGGGAGCGACAGTCGGCACAAGAAGCGAGCATGCGGAGTTGGGGGTGCCTACACTCAATTTGCGAGCAGGTGGGACTGTCAAATTTTCCACATTTAAAAAGTTTTGTTTGCGTTTACCAGTCACCCCCAAGGACAAGAGAAGTGGAAACGTATCATACCGCATCAAAAAATGGGTAAATCCTCGTTTAGCCCACCAAACGTTCGTGTATGTGAAATATATTTGAATAAGGAGAGTGTGATTCACGAAAGTACATTATACAAAGCAGCATTTTTAAGAATGCCATGTGAAAGAGCAATGCTGTGGGCAGACACAATTCTTCACTTGTTCGATGGCCTCTCGAAATGCTTGTCTAAGGAGTCGGCACCTCGGCACTTTGCCACATAGGTCATGGTCTTAGAAGTACACATGCAGCTGGTCCAGATTTCTCGCAAGTCATTAGATAGCTCCTACGAATTGAATGCAGTAAGTTACAGTAAACATTGCACTTTTACACAGCTTGCTTTTTGCATACCCTCGAAAATCTATCTGCATTCAACTGGAACATTACTGTATTTTTTTATTACTGTGATAGGTGTTTGTACTGCTAAATTATTTGCTGTTGGTAATCGCTGTTTCTGATGTATATATATTTAAACTTCTACATCTGTATATGAATGTCTGCATCAGTTTCTGTTTTGAAAATGAAATGCTTACATTCTGAAATTAGTTGTCTGTTATCCCCGCCGCGGTGGTCTAGTGGCTAAGGTACTCGGCTGCTGACCCGCAAGTCGCGGGTTCGATTCCCGGCTGCGGGGGCTGCATTTGCGATGGAGGCGGAAACGTTGTAGGCCCGTGTACTCACATTTAGGTGCACGTTAAAGAACCCCAGGTGGTCAAAATTTCCGCAGCCCTCCACTACGGCGTCTCTCATAATCAAATGGTGGTTTTGGGACGTTAAACCCCACAAATCAATCAATCAATCAATTAGTTGTCTGTTATGAAAATATTTCAGATATTTGAAGCCTGCTGGTTTTTAAAAGGCGTTAAAAGATTTCCATAGTTCCTAGAGCAGTTAACCTCATAAGACGGTTGTTTCACCTTCGTCCAAGTGTAAAGAGCGGTTGTAGAGCATGGTTGTAAGATTAAACAACTGCTTGGTACTTTGCAGCGGGTGAGGGTTCTGAGGCGTTTAGAACAAAAAAAAACTACCACATGTAGCTACTAACGTAACTACAGGTAACTAACAACGTGCTCGTAAACCTGAGTACGCGTGCTCTTGTGTTTTATCATCAAATTTTAATTCTATAATAGTCGAGTGGGAGGTGACCCTGTCCAGTTCTGACTCAGTGCAGCAACAGGCCCTGGTGGACCGAGCCCGAACGGCGGCAAGAGCCAATGGTCTTCCAGACTAGTAGGCCCAACCACTATAGCGACCTACTTATTACCAATAAATGTTTTCTTCTCTCTTCGAAGCACGACCGCTGTGACCAGGCATGTCTAGCAGCACAACAGCCAGCGAGGCGGGTATAAACAATGCCAGGGTTTTCGCTTGTGTGGAGGTACTATTACAATATTCTTCTGATATCTCCTTCATACTTTTGTAGATGCAATTTTGTACATGTACTTGCAGATCCCAGCGACGCGCGGGCAATCTATAATTTTTCCTCAAGCACCATTCTTCCTAAGTCGAGCGTCGGTGCCACGTATCCCAGAAGTAACATTCAACTCAGTGACAGATATATTCGGAAGAGTTCAGGCGAAGTAGTTTTCAAAAGCGTGGACACATCATCAGAAAAAAGCATCATCATGTCATTTGCACGTTTCGGGACGTTTGTTTGCAAAGATGCACAATGAACGCCTATCTCTGGTGGTAAGCATGCCTGTGTACTGACAATGTTTGCTGAATCGGTTGGAAGCACAAAGCTGCACACCACTTTTGCCACAAGCGAAACTGCCACAACCAAACAGACATTTATGACTGCTGTGTGAACATACGCTGTATATCAGCGATGAGAGAGCAGAACATGAAGCCCCACTGAGTTATGTCTGTGAAGCTGCCAGACCAATTCTTCGCCAAGGAAACCTCGTAACGCCCCAAGCTCACGCTGAAAGCCCCCTTCTCTGCAGTGGGGATCCAGGCAGGAGGCTCTATCCCTATACCAAACTTAGCCCGAAGTTTTGTGATCAGTAGAGAATATTGAAGGACTGTGTAGGGGGGGGGGCTTCAAAAAATAAACCAATAGAACTAACATAGTAAGGCTGCTTCTTATCAAAAATTCAGACTGAATAAATGCAGAAACATGATACAGGGTGCAACTCAATAGCTATCACAATTAAGCATTAGGTATCGCCAACTTCCTGTCAGGAAAGATAATGAAAATAAAATTCAGAATAGAATGCATGGTATGGTTCGTGGGGGCGTGCCAATGGAAAATTGCCTGAAATGACACTCGCTCAGGAAAAAAAAAAAACTAACAGTTTGGCATAACAAAGTTCCTCAGATCCCCTTCTTAAAGCTCTTGACATGGCTCCCAATTATTATATCTGTTAGTATATTGTGAACTTAGGTTCGCCATTTTACTCAGCGTTAAGCAGATTGTTTGGTACTGTATGCACTCACTTCAGACCTACATAATGACATATTGATTCTCCAAATTGCCTTGGCAGAACAGCAAATTCACAAGAAATATAAATGTGTAAGCATTATCAAAAGTAAAGCAGACAGGTAAAAGTAAGTATAAGTGAAAGAGCTTATTTTGGCTACACATTGCAAAAGATATATTGCACGAAACAAGCCGAAAAAAAAAAAAAAACAGTGCAAAGCCATATAGGCGATGTATGGGATGCAAGAGAAGGACAACCAAAAGAGCACTTGTGCTAACATTCATATTATGAATTTAAGAGAGCTCTGTGAACAGCGACAGCAGGAAAAAAATGGTATGGTAAGTGGAGATATTAACGGGTTTGCTCTAATATTTAAAGCTTATAACTGGTGGTGGTGTTAAAAATCCTATTTGCAGCTAAGTTAATCACATGTAATTAAAACTTACATCCACAAGATCTATCAAATTGCTGCAGTGAGAAGATGCAAAAAAGTCCCATCATTCAGGTTTTGTAATGGAGCATCATGCAGGAAAATGCCGTCAGAACTTGCTCGATCATCGCTGCACGCATCGGGGTACGCACCACTGGTAAGTGGTTATGGGTAAGTGTCATGGCACTGGGACAAATAAAAAAGGAAACAAAAATCAGGTAAACAAAAGGCATGTGGGTGTTTCTGTTGAGTCCATAGAGTTTCCTAATATACACTTGAGGGAACTCTGGCGCTAGTTTCTATGGGAGCTGCAACGCACGGCGCTTCAGAGAGCATGGGAATGATGGGTAGTACACACATTTGTCTAATCTTCGTACTTCTGGACTGCTTTTGGCTTCGTGTGTGTTCATGTGGCTTGAAGCTGTTTTCTTACGAAACAAAAGTAGCAAATGTTCAGCGCTTGCGCTTCACCACCTTATTTTTTTAAACTTTCCTTTCCGAATCGGTCAGGAAGTTCAAAAGGGCTGAATCTTTCTTTCAAAACAAAACTGAAACACAGCAATAAACGAAGCCGCAAGTACGAAGACTAGGCAAATGTGTGTACTACCCATCATTCCCATGGTCGCTGAACGATCGCAGCACCAGAGTCCCCTCAAGTAATTTTAGGAAACTCTATGGTTGAGTCTTCGCGAGCACCGTCATGTTGCTTTGCCCCACTAAAAGGGACGTGAACACTTCATCACCTGCCGTCACTGTCTGGTGGAAAGATAAAATTATGGCCCTGCCCTTGGTTTTATTCAGGTAGCTAGAGGCACCCATACCAGATTGAGAAGCAGCCTTAAGTTAGCGATTATTGTTTCCACGGTAGTGTCGCCATAGCAGTATCTTGTATCTTAAGATACGTGATACAATTGAGTGTATCGCCAGTACAGATACTCGTCTCGGGAGGTGTATCTTCAATACTGTCTAGCCCTGGTTGTTACCATGTGGGGCTTGGCTGTGGTAGCCCCCCTCCCTGGAATTCCTGAGCCCCACTACCATGACGAGGCATATTTCGTGCTTATAGGGAACACAAAGGACTTGTCGAATAATTCATACCACAGGTGAGGAGGTATTCAAGGCTCTAGACAACTGACCATTATTGTGCAGATTCTTGGCTGCGGCGTGACGGGCGTGGGGGTGTGGCTGCATGTGGCGTACGGTGGCTATTCGACACTGCTGCCCACCCACCGAGTGCTCAGCGCGGACGGGCTATGCCTCACAGCGGGTGCCATCACCTTCCTCGTGGCCTTCCTTGGATGCTGTGGCGCCTGGTTCCAAAGCCGGTGCATGCTTGCCACGGTCAGTGTTGTAGCCGAACAAACTTTGTACAACAGAAGCCAGCTACTGCAGTAGACGAGACTTCTGTTTCTGTCCATGCATTTGTAGCCAATACCCGGATATGGACTGCTTTCTAGAGTAAAACTGTAGCTTCTGATTATTCTGTGCTGATTCACCTGGAACCGACAGACCATATTGCATTGCTTTCAGCTTGCTTGCAAGGATTTTTCGCTGCTGTCATTTATGCGCCTAAAGTTGGACCTGTTCAACTGTACAGAATAGATTGAATGCCGGCCTTACACACGCTCTGCATGTGAGGCTTCGTGGTGCTGTGCATTGTCTTGAAACCACCTTTGTGGGAAACCATGCTGTGTGTTTGCTGGTGTACTACTGCAGTAAAAGGTTTGTTCAAAAGGTAGTTTCATTTTGTTGCATTGTTTGTACATGTGCATTGTTGTTCAAAATGCACATTGTTTATACAAAATCTACAAAACAAACATCGTTGATCGCACTAATATTCTTGCAGCTCAAGCAAGGATCAGCCGTACCAGTTAGGGCGTTATTTCGTTGCGAACGCTTAGCGGGGTCTCGATATAGGCGCCGCTTTCAGAACAGCAGACACAGTTGGGCAAGCGAACGTACTTATTGCACGCCACCAATGCTAGCAATGAATGTGCCCCCTTCATTCCCCCCCCCCCCCCAGGCTTACCCTACCCCAATCAAAAAAAAAAAAAAAGCAAGATTTTTTTGAATCGTGGAAACTGTCGTCCAGTGCTCCAGGAGCTCCACGTTGGGCAGCCAATAGTGTGTGGTGTCACAGTGAGAGCCGCCGCTAGCGAAACAGACGGAGACAGGAGATGTGGTAAAACGAAACATCGTGTCCACGTATTTTCCAACTACCTTGACATTGGCGATATCGCTAGCTGAACGAAATGTGCCACTTGTCACGCCTTACACAACCTTATACAATAATGCAGTACATTCAATCACCATAACAAACACAAGGTAACACAAGGACGGCGTTGCTGATGTTCGACTCACGGTGAGTGGCCCGTGGAAAACGACTATCACGTTTTGGGGGAGACGTCTTCATGTTTGCAGCCCTAATGAAAGAAATGAAGTAATAAAATTAAAGTGCAGCGATCTCAAATGTTTTTTGTGTGGCCGCCTAGCCTCGCCGCCTGGTGTTACTGCAAGTTCTAGCCATAATGATGATGACGGTGAACTCGTGCGATCACTGCGTCACCTACCGCTCGATGGCTGTTCACACTAACTGCAACCTATCCGCCAGACACGTGTGCAACACGAGGCGCTAATGACTAGACAGTAATAGCACCCCCCCTCCTCATGTTTTACTGCGTATATTTTGTCATCAGGCCTGACGCAGTTGCAAGCGCATTACAGACTCGCTCACTGTGCAGTGCAGAATAAATTAATTGCAGAGTGATTAAGATTCAGTTTCAGTGTAGCTTAAGTGTGCATTAATCTCCCTATTGCTTCTACGTGCTTTCCAGTACTTTGTGCTGGTGATCCTCATCTTTCTGCTTGAGTTTGCTGCTGGCACACTGGGCTTCATCTACCGTCGACATGTGAGTAGTGAACGTCCTTTCTTTTCTTCTTGAGCACATGGATACTGCAGGTTAAGCTCTCGTTAGGGATAATAACAATTTAATAAAAAACGCCAGGCCTGCGCAGAAGGCACAACACAGTCAAAGCGAAAGCTAGAAGAGCAGACTTTCAGAGTTGTTGTTGTTGTTTTTGTTCTCCTATTGCTAGTGGCGCATACCCACTATTGGGGATTGGCCAAGAATCAAGTGGTTTTAAAATTTGCTGTTCAGATTTGGAATGATGGAGTTATAACAGAAAGATTACCGATAGCCTAGGAAAGTGTGGTGCTTAATGTAATGCATACAAATATTTACATAAACAAATTTATTTTTAGAATAGAGCAATAATCTGATTTTATATGTATATAATTATGTGGACATGTTAGGATAATGAAACTGGTCAATTAGTCAACCTATTAGCTTCATCAATATAGTCCCGGACGGCCGCGCCGACTGTCGCATTAGAGAAACCAGAAATGGAAGCTCCAAAAGACAGAATGAGAGGCAGAGATAAGTCCATACCAATACCACGTAAAGGTATTTCTAATAGGGTTTTGGGTAATGTGTTAAACTGCCTGCAGGTAAAAAAGAAATGGTCTATTGTTTCCAATTCATCACAGAATGCGCACAGTGGCGAAGGTGCCTGAGCAGACCTGTGTTTATAGAACTTTAGATTTGGTACCCGGCAACGCAGCCTTGTGATAGCTACTTCTTGTTGTCGAGTGTGGCAAAAGTCTCTTCGCCAAGGATATAATAAATGGCGATATTCTGTAGAGTTTGTTAGTGCTGAACCTTTAAAGACTTGCAGAAGCGTACGTCTGCAGAATCGAGCAGCAGTCACATAAGCCACATAAGGCTTATGTGACCGCATAAGTCACATAAGATGGACAGAGCGGTAGAATTGGTTCGCTGATTGATGACTTAGCTAAGGAATCGGCCATTTCATTTAGAAACAAACCTTTGTGTCCAGGCACCCAAACTAATCGTACTTTTCTCAAATGCGCAGGTACTAGTGCACGGAATGCCTTTGTTACGTGATTATCAGCACCAACAGAAATTGCCGCACAGAGAGATAGGGAATCTGTTATTATGACAGCTGATGTAATTGCTGTATCTAACTTGCGTAAGGCGAGCACTACTGCCAGAAACTCGGCCACAAAAACGGGTATGAAATCGGGTAGTCGAAGGGAATAAATCCAATTTAAAATCAGGCTGAAAATATCAACCCCTGACTTGTCGTCGTATTGCGATGCGTCTGTAGCAATAATAACGTTCGTTGTAATACGGCACAGGTGATCTTGTAGTAAACTGTCCAAAATATTATGGGGAAGTAATTTGGCATTATTAGGAAAAATGTCGTCGAATTGAATTTCTACCGGGCTGAATTATCACGACTCGGCATGATGTCGCATATACGTACGTTTAGAGGCTCCAGTAAATTTTGCACAAATATAATTTGTGGCGTGTGAAATCGCAGCCATCTAGCAGCAAAAAATGATTCCGGGGTGGAAATAAAGGCTGTTTCTGAATGTCGTAATGGTGATTCATAAATTCTTAAGAATGTCTGAACAGTCAGAAGGCGAATTCTACAAGAAAGCGGAGGGACCCTCGATTCGAGATATAACACATTGTTGGCAACTGTTTTGGGAAGGCCAAGGCATAAGTGCAAAGCTTCTCTTTCCAGAAGAAGTAGAGGCCGCAACTTGTAAGCTGGAACTCCAGAGAAAAGTACACAACCAAATTCCAAAATGGGACGAACGTACATGTGATATATCATTAATAATGTGTCTCTTCTCGTACCTATGCGGTAGTTGCTTAGCCTACGTAATATGCCAATGGCCCGCACACCTTTTCCGGCGATATATACGATATGAGGTCGGCAGTTAAGCGATGTGTGATAAATTACTCCAAGGTATTTAACAGATTCCACCTGTGGTATATCCTCATGATGGTAAGACAGAGAGATGTTCACAGGGTATTGCAACAGGAAAACAAGGAGGGCACATTTACTCGGATTAAGTAAAAAGCTGTTGCCATCGAGCCAGCTCTCCAATATATTAAGGTAAGTCTGCAGCCGTTCATATAAGGTCTTAATGTTATCTGCCATTGCAAAAAATGCGATATCGTCTGGGTAAACATAAGTTGTTATATTCTGTTTACGTGGAATGGTGCTCATTAGTAAATTAGATAGCACCGGGGAAAGCACCAAGCCTTGCGGTACTCCCCTTGTTTGGTATGGGTAGATGATGAAAACCCATCTTTAAAACAATAAAATTTCCTGTCTGCAAGAAAATTATGAACCCACGCTACTGTGTATGATGGAAAATCAAGGTATTCTAATCGATCTATCAAAATACAGTGCTCTACGGTATCATATGCTTTAGCGATGTCTAAGGTAACTAAAGCTGCATATTTTTTATGTAGCCGAGCTAATTGAAGCCGACTTCCTAAGTCAACGTGGGCATCCCAAATTGAACAACCAGCCCTTAACCCAATTTGACAGGGACTTAGAATTGACCTCATGGTAATCAGTTAATTAATTCGTATATTGATGATTCTCTCAACGAATTTCACTAAGTTTGATGTCAGTGCGATCGGCCTCATGTTACCCTATGTGTATGCATCATTTTCATTTTTTAGCAACAATACAATTTTGGCAAGTTTCCATTCTGGAGGTTTCCATGCGTTCCCTAACGAATAATTCACTAGTTCTAGCAAAAGATTAGGCGATTCCTGGAGTAAACATTTCAACATAAAGTTCGTAATCCCATCTGGTCCGGGAGCCGTTCTCGATAAGCATAATACTGTCTGACATAATTCAGCTAAAGAAACTTCTGGAAATTCATGCAAGTTTACCAGAACGGACTGAATAGCCAAAAAATTAGCAGTGAAGCGGCGTTCTAAACCTTGCGCTATGTCTTCTAGAGAGGTGTTGATTTCTTCCGGTGTCAAGACACATGACTGCAACGTTAAAGGTGCTGGCAGTACTTTTCTTGTTTAAAGATAAGCGAACAAAGCACGCTTATTTTTTTATTTAGAAAGATAATCAAAATGTCTACTGTCGTATTCTTCTTTCGCGCGGTTCACTTTACGCTTAAACACGCCAGCAAGGAATTGATAGTCCTTCCAGTTTGTTAGGCTCTGATTAAGAAGTTTTTTCCAAGCGGCTTTTCGTCTTCTATAATCGTGCGTACACTCATCGTTCCACCAACGAGAGGAGGATTGTTTATTGTATGAAATAGAAAATTTGGAATTTTTTCTAGATCCCTCCTGCATTGAACCAATCGTAGATGCAATCTCCTTAGTACTGGCATTTCCAAGCTTGGAAATGGCAGAACGGAGGCAGGCTTGAAATTTGCTATGGTTGATGTATGTGTGTTTCGGCTGATCTAAAGTTATTGTTGGACAAGTAATGTCAAAAACTACAGGAAGATGGTCGATGTTAGTTGCCGAATCCAGAACAGCCCATGACAAAACCTCGATTGCATTGGAGCAAAACGTTAAATCCAATACTGAGTTAGTTTGACCTCGGACAAATGTTACATGACCTTTATTCAGACAGGAGAGGTTGTGATCAATAGTCCGTTCCCACAGTCGCCTACCACAAGAATCTGTCCTTATACCCCAAGACAAATGATGTGAATTAAAGTCTCCTGTCAGTACAATTTCCTTTCTACATGCTACCAAAACGCTGTCAAGATAACGCGTGCTTTGTACACTGGAGGGGAAGTAACAATTTACAATTGAAAAGGGTGGTATCCGGGGAGACACAAGTCTAATGCTAATATTTCACAATCCAAGTCTAACATTCTGAAAGAAATGTTCGCCCTATGGCATAATTTACTTGATACAAGGGTCATCAAACCACCACCACGTGATGGGCGATCTAATCGAAAAAAAAACGAAAACCTGCAAGATGGAAATTTTTATCTGGTGTGGGCCAAGTTTCTTGGAGAATTATAATATCAAGATTAAGATTATTGCAAAGGTAATGTAAGTCGGTTGAGGCTGAGAATATAGAACGGCAGTTTCACTCTAGTACCCTCAACTGACCTATGGTGTTGAGCGCATTGCAGAGGCGCATGTCGCGCCCTTGTTAGCATCTTCACGCGAAATAGCTGATTCATTCCGTTTAGATTTGGACTTGAGATCGGTGAAGATAGGAGATCTGGTACGTTTATTAGTTCGTATATCGAGTTCCATATCTGTAGCAGTACTTGTGCTCGGCTGAGGCGAATGTCGGTCCAAGTGCACCTGTGTTCCTGACTGCTTAGCCTTGCCTGCAGATGCAGAAAGTTCGTCCAACACTACATTGCGTTGCTGTGTGGCATCGCTGGTAATGTCTAATACTCCAGGTTCTGTACTAGTCTGTACTGTTTGTCCACTCTGACTTGAAAGAATTTGCACCAAACAGTCGGAAAGGTTAGATATGAGTTTATCTATTGCCTTACTCACTGCCTTTTCCACAGCAGTTTCAATAGCCTGCAATAGGTTTGAGTCCGTACTGGAAGTACAGCACGCTGTTATACCAGAGTATCCAAAAGCCCTGCCTCTAACTATGTCAATGGCTTCCCTTCGAGAACAGTGGCGACGGTCAATAACTTCTAGGATTTGAACCTCCCGGGAACGAGTCGAACAGTCAGAGTTGTCGGCGCAGTGACTACCCCCACTGAGACAACACTTTTCCGCTGTAGCAGTACACTTGCTTGAAGGATGGCTCTCTCCGCAGGTGCTACAATGAACGTTAGATTTACATCCTCCCACACTGTGGCCGAATCTCCAGCAGTTCTTGCACTGAATCGGACGAGAAGCGAGGGGTTCTACTCGGAAGATCAGTGGCCATCATTTTATTTCTGACGGGCATTTTGTGCCCACAAATGTCGCGATGACAGATTCGGTTGGTACCCTCTCTTTGTCGACTAGGCGATTACTCCGGTAAATCGAAATTACGCCTGCTCCAGAGAGCCTGTCTAGGATCTCAG